CTTTATTCATTTTATTCTCTTTTTAATATCAACTGATGTTAAAACTGACACTGACTTTATTATAGTTGGTGTAATAGCTCATTCACAATAGAAAAATGAAAATTGACATGTAAAATTTGGAAGTATTTAGGTTAGGGTTACAGGTAATAAAAAGTTAATAGAGACCTATCTCACTAGTAACTGACAATTTACTGAGTTAACACAATGCACTTCTATAGCTCAGAATAACTTGTGACGTCACCATCAAACAAGACTAACAATCTTCCACTGTCAGTCATTTAGATTTATTTGTAAGAAAATCCAAAGGGAAAAGTATCTTTGTTTAAATTCAGGAGGGCCCTTTCTAGTAACAGACACATTAAACCATTGACAAGCAGAGGAATGAATTGCTTAGTATTTTCCTTTGACTCCTTTAAAAACCTCTTGGGATTTTCTTTTGGCTTTAAAATAGTCACATGCATCTAGCCAGTCTTTGAAGCAAAGCCATGCTACTTAGAAACCAATATTTTGTGCTAAGGGAAGAAATATTACAGAAGAGCAAAAAGCTTGAATGTTTCCTTTTTAAAATTTGAAGGCACAGTTTACATTAATTCAGATTTCATAATATGTGAACATAAATTCATAAAGCCACCTTGTTACAACTATAATTAATCAGGTCTCGTGACTGGTTAGATTTTATTTACACTTCTTTCAAAAACATAATGTCATATTTCCTATCTAGATGCATAATGAGGGAGAACACTGGGGGAAAAATCTTCAGATGTAAAGACAATCCATATGTTCTGAAATAACACGTATACTCTACAAACTCAGTTCTAAAATATGTAATCAGTAGGAAAGTCCAACTATTTAGAGGGCTACTCGAAGTGTCATTTGATCATAGTATGTTTTTTTAAATGCCAAGAACCATTTATATGCAATTACTGTCGTCTACTTACTGAGTTTCTTACATATGTCTCAAATTTCAGAGTGAAATCTCTATCCCTTGGCCTTCCAATGATCTCCCCCTCAAAGGACTGAAATTGAGCACTTATTTAAATTGACATGATGGCAAAGGATGCACTAGAAACGAATGATATTCAAAAGGACTCCCCACAGAGGTACCCAGCTGTCAGCTTTCTTAAACATCAAGCAACCAGGATCTCTTTAACATTAAAAAGGGACGTCAGAATTCAAGAAGACTTTCTTCAAACATAGACACACACATTTGGTATTACTTCCATCTACTACTGTGCCTAGTTCCTCCACTACAAAACAAAAATGTGACATTTCTTATGTATACAAAGTTAAAATGTAGTTCTTAAAAAAATGCAAACAAAAGTATTAGGTTGCTATAATGTGTACATTTTGTTCTACACAAAGAAAGAATGGGACTTAGTAAAAGCAAAAATTCATCAAGGTTAAATTAGTTCGACTCCTCTAATAACACCGGTCCTTTTGATCTCAGCAAGCACCTTTGCCTTGTTTTTTTTCATCTTTTTTTCTATTTTGTAGTTTACTGAAAGCTTCTTTTTGTATATAATAATCTCAATAGAAAAATCTTCACCTGCAAATATAAGGTAGAATTTTTTTCACAGCTATAGGCTGTAGCACTGATTTCTCCAGATATCAACGGAGGACAGAAAATGTGTATGCACTGTTAATTCCAGATTCTAAGAAAACTGTCCCAAGAGCCTGTTGCCACAGCCATGCCATCATCAGTTACGCCCAAACAGCTGACACGGTTATCATGACCAGCAAGAACACCTGAAAAATGAAAGTTCAGTAAAAAGTTAGCAATGGGCAAGTTTTAGAATTAAACAAGTGTATGTGTAAAAGATCTAGAAGGATACTTAAAAGCTAACAGATTCCTCCGAGGGAGACTGAGTGCCAGAGATAAGCTGTACATTATTAAGTAAAACAATTCTTTGTACATGAATTTTTGACATGCATCAAATCGTGTTATTCATTTTTGCAAAATTATTTCATAATTATGCTTTCTTATAATCTAGGAAAAGATATAGGCTATTACTCTACATCTCTAATAAGTTCATGATACTCCAATTTTGCCACTGAGCAGTGCTATTTTCAACAAACAAAATTTTAAATGAATTTCAGTGAAGTAGTCTTTTACCACAGAACAAAAACAAGAACGAAGTTGCCGTATCAAAATACCAATATAATTTGTTTCTCTTAACCACCAAATGCTAAAATGTTTTGATTATAGCCTTCTGAAGCCATCAAACTCATCTAGTTTTAATTTCTTCTTTATATTAATCTTGATATTCTGATTAGCACACAGGATAAAATGAAATATTCCCAAATATTTGGGAGGAAAATGAGAAATACAAAGATTTTAAAGAAAAAATAGAATATATCAAAATTCTTACAAGAATTTTTTCTTTAATACTGTGTTCTCTCTACATAATTAAGCATATCATTTTCATTCAATCTCAGGAACAGAAGTTTATCTTATCTAGCTCTTAATATTCATTGTAGCATATCCAGTATGGCAACGTTTGGCAATGGGCAAATTTACCATTATGGGTTGAAATAAAAATGAACATCATGGCTAAATATCCAAGACACGCTAGAAAGGAAAATAAATTAGCATAAAAATAAGCCACAATTCAATTTCAAGGTGAAAGTATCCAGTTAAGCCAACCTTAAAACCAGTAAGCAAAGCAAAACTAAAACTCAAGCATATATTAAAAAATAGAGAAAATCTTTTGTTGTGGATACTGATTAAATCCAGGCAAAACAGCTAATACCTTAAAAAAGTACCTGGCTTGGACAATAAAGTATCCCCCAAAATATACATGTAAAATGCAAACAACTTTTCCTGAGAATGTTGATATTTCCTCTAGTTCTCAGAAACCTCAACAACTGTATAGGAGTTTAAAAAGGTAAGGACAAAACTCCACAAGGACAGTGAGGATATAAGAACAGGCAACGACAACAAAATTTTGTAAGCTAGATGGTGAGAACTCTTTTAGTGGACCCTAAATAGCTGAGTTCATAGCAAATGGTCTTTTGTTCAAGAAACAAAATTACACTGCAGAACCTCCAAAAGGGTCAGATACCAGTGGAACCAGGAATCTCCGAGACCAGGTAGGGGCAAAGCGAGGGTAAACTAAGACTGTGTTAGAAAGTGTCTAAGAATCAGACTCAGGTTTCCTCCTCCACTCTTCAGTCAGGTGATTGGTCATTCTTCAGGAAATTTAAGACTAGACTTATTTACTAGAGAGAGTATAAAACGGTCTCTTAACAGAAAGAAAATAGGCACAGGTGAGATTGGCGAAACTGAGGAAAATGGGGAGTAAAAAAGTTTACTTGCTACTTGTTTTGCTCCCCAGCTTTCCTCCTGAAATCAGCTCCCAGACTGGCAGCCAGTTTATACATTCCAGGTAGAAAAGCAGAAAATCCACCTCAGAGAACATAGCTAGCCCAAGGGGGAAAAGTCCATAAGATCTATCAGTGTTTCCCCAATGAAAACCTGGCCAGATTGTCCTTCAATGAGGCCTACATGTAATACACCCCAACCATGTGCATTGGGCTTTCAAACAGTTTTAGTGCCTCACTCTTCAGTGCGAAGAACAAGCTAGGAATCACTAGAGTTTTAAGGAAATATTCTAAAAATAAAGACGGGACCAAATAAGAAGGAAGACAGGTGGGAAAAGCAATTTGGAAAATATAAAAGATTAGGCTTGAAGAGGAAAACTTCAAAAAAGGCTTTCATTAATAACCTCAGAGAGACAAGTCTTTAGTCATAAGAAAAAAAAATGGATGCCTTAACAAAAAAATATCTCAAAAAGATGATAGCAAAAATGAAAAACCAAAACTTAACAGAAAGATCATTAAAAAAGAAAAAAAGACAATGACTTCCTCTCAGAACACTGAACAAATAAAGACAGAGATGGAAAATAGGACAGAATAAGAAAGTCTAAGGAAAGTCCAAGGAAGTAAAACATCAGAATAATGGGAGTTCTAGAAAGAGAATGATAATGGAGAAGAAATGCTAGCAATTAAATCCTCCCTGCCCCCCACCCCCAAACTTCCTAGTTCTACAAGGTAAAAGTTTCCAGATTGAAAAGGCCCACTGGATACTCGGCATACTGGATGAAAATGGATCCACTCCAAGACCTATCAAAACTGGCAGAAAGGTTGTAGATTAGTAAGAAGTCCATCAAAATTAAGACCATAAGCCAAAACTAAGAACATAACTCGATAATACAAAAAAGGTCTGCACAGCAAAAGAAGTCATAGTACATACCTCACTGCTCAGTAGTAAGTACTGTTTAAAAAGTCATAATTATGTAAATACTGACATGTTCGGAACGAAATTCCCCAAATGAGAAAAACTGGAAGATGGGAAGGACATGGGTGGGTGGGGTGTGGTGGGAGGAGTTAAGCCATGTAGAACTATTTGATTCCTTAAGTATAACTTTAATTCTAAAAAAAAAAAAAAATTAAATCACTGTGTAATTTGTTATTAATGACAGTCCCCAATATGACTCGATGTAAATACTAATATTTTGGAAGCTGCAGGACAGAACTGAGTACGGGGCTACGGTAAGGCAGTGTGCATCCACGTCCTGTCCTAGACAAGGTCTTTTCCAGAAGGAAGATGACCTATAGCAGTTAAAATTAAAATGTCTCCTGTCAGCTTATAAAAAAATTATAATTTGGCAAAGACCACAATGAATTATATTTGCTATTCATAGTTATATTGAAACTTACCAAACAAGAAAATATGACAGAATTGGATGTTAATTCTTCAGAAAAAAAGAAATGTCAACTATGGTTTACAGACTGTAACTGCACTCAGGGCAACAAGGATCCTGAATGAGAACTGCTGGGTTGCCACTGCCCAGCTCCAGGGTGTCCAAGAGCCTCAACCAACTGATGGGAAGGCTTCACGTTTCCTGCAAAACCAAAACCTAGTGTGGATTTAGTCACTAACCTGCACGATCTCCTTTTAGTGTGTCCCATACGTTACAATTAAAATCATCATAACCAGCTAACAGGAGGCGCCCACTTTTTGAGAAGGCTACGGAAGTAATTCCACAGATGATATTGTCATGAGAATACAATAATAACTCTTGGTCTGCACGAAGGTCAAAGAGACGGCAAGTAGCATCATCAGAGCCAGTGGCAAAGGCATATCCACTTGGAAAAAACTAAAAAGAAAAGCAACAGACATTTATTCCATAGACATGTACAAAAATCATGTGAGGCAATGTAATAATAATAGACTCCAGGGTAAAACAAACCTAGAATCAAATTCCAACTTGGCTTCTTCCCAGGTGAGTGATGTTAGGTACTAAAGATTCTTAAATACTTCGGGCCTTAGTTTCAGTTTTAGAGTGTTGGTTAGGAGTGAATGAAATAACATATGCCAAGTACATAACCTGTTGTTTAGCACACAGCAAACGTTCAATAAATATTGGCTCTGGTCCTCCATAGATCTTATTAAAATATATAAATCAAATATGACTATTTATAGAATTTACATATGTGTACTCTTAAATGTTTCAAAATCCCATTATGAGAAATAAAAAGGAAAGACTTTATAAAAGAGAACATGACTCATTCCAGTTAGGTTAGGTTATAAAGTTAAGCTGGTTCCAAAAATGAAGGAGTTGAAGACTAAATTCTAAAAAAAAGGGTCTCTGATTTTAAGCTTTATGAAAATGAACTATCATTTGGGTCATCTTTCTTAATTGTCATTCAATAAAAAAATCTGCTGAACACATGCAATGATAATAAAAACCCTCCACAAAGTGGGCATAGAGGGAACATACCTCAAAATAATAAAGGCATTCCCTGTGCCATGCTCCTCATCCTTGTGCCCAACTATCAACTACTAATTGGTACTTCTTTAATCCTTCACCCCATTCTCCCATTCCCTCAACCCCTCTCCCCTGTCTGTCATCAAACTGTCCACTATATTTGTGAGTCTGTTTTTGATTAGTTCTTTTTGTTCCTTAGATTCCACATAGAAGTGAAATCATATGGTATTTATCTCTCTCTGTGTGACTTATTTCACTCAGCATAATAACCTCTTTGTCTATCCATGTCATTGCAAATGATAAGATTTCACTTTTAATGGCTGAGTAATATTCCATTGTACATATGAACCATAATTTCTTCATCCAATTATCTGTTGATGGGCATTTAGGTTGCTTCCATATCTTGGCTATTGTAAATTGTGCTGCCATGAATATTGGAGTGCATAGACCTTTACGAATTATTGTTTTGGTTTTCTTTGGATAAATACATCTAAAAAGGGATTAATATCCAAAATTTATAAAGAACTTATACCACTCAACAGCAAAAAATAATCCAATTAAAAAATGGGCAGAAGACTTGAACAGATACTTCTCCAAAGAGGAAATACAGATGGCTAACAGACATATGAAAAGATGCTCAAGGTCGCTAATCATCAGAGAAATGCAAATTAAAACCACAATGAGATATCACCTCACCCTGTCAGAATGGCTATCATCAATAAATCAAAAAACAGCAAGTGTTGGTGAGGATGCGGTGAAAAGGGAACCCTCATACATTGTTGGTGGGATTTCAAATTGGTACAGCCACTATGAAAAATAGTATGTAGGTTTCTCAAAAAAATTAAAAACGGATATACCTTTTGATCCAGCAATTGCACTTTTGGGTATTTATCCAAAATGTTTACTTTTTAAAAAATATAAAGCAATTTTTAATTTTCATGTCGTCAAATTTATCTTTCTCTCTGAGATTTCTTTCATTCTTTTTTTTTTTACAAAGTCCTTCACCAGGCTATTATCTGATGTTCAATTATATTCTAGTTTCTTTTTTAATAACTTCATTTTTCAGATTTTAATTTTTTATCCAACTGGTATTCATTTTATATACAGCATTTAGTGTAAGGCTCTAACTTTTCTTATTGTTAAACAACCAGATGTTAATTAAATAATCATTTTTCCCCACTCACTTTGTTGCTACATCTATTATTCACTAAAGTCTTACATACAAAAAAATGTTAGTTTTAAGTTTGCTGTCTGTCCTTTCTTGTACCTGTATCACATTCTTTTTTAATCATTATAACTTGATTCTTTCATTCTGCTTCAATCAGTCTGTCCTCCTTTTTTCCCCCCCACTTGATTTTCACAGACATTTGATTGAGTCTCTTTTCTTCATATTACTGACTCATCTCAAAAAGAATCCACTTGGGTTTTAATTCAAATTAGTATGAAAGGAGTAAGTGGTTGGTTTACAATATACAGTCTTCCCATTCAGGAATGTGGGATTTTTTTTTTTAATGTTTAAAAAAGTTTTATGACTCTCTTCATAAAGATTCTGCACATTTCTTGCTAAATTTATTCCTTGTCTATTTTATAATTTTTGTTACTGTTCTCAATAGATTTTTCTTCTTTCCTATTTTCTACCTGGCTATTATTGGTATAGCAAAATTACTGATTTTAAAAATAGTTTTTGTAATCTAGAAAATACACTGAACTCCTCCCGCCATCCAACTGCTGCCTATAAGAAAATCACATTGAATATAAGACACAAATGGGTTAAAAGTAAAAAGAAGGAAAAAGATATGCCCGTGCTAACACTAATCAAAAGAAAACTGGGGTAGTCTATTCTATTAATATTGGACAAAGATTTCAGAGCAAATAATGTTACCAGGGATAAAGAGGGACATTTCATAATGATAAAGGAATCAATTCATTAGAGGACATAACAATCCTAAAGTTTTATGCTTTGAAATACATGAAGCAAAAACTAATGGATTAGAAGGAAAAATGAACAAATACACAATTAGAGATTTCGACACTCCTCTTTCAATAATAGAAAGAACAGACGAAAATCATTACAGATATAGAACATATGAATAACACTTTCAACCATCTTGACCTAATTGACATCTATGAAACTCCCCACCCAATAACAGCAGAATAGATTCTTTTCAAGTGCATATAAATACAACACTCAAAATTTGTGGAATGTAGCTAAATGCGATTCTTAGAAATTTATAACTTTAACTTTCAATATTAGAAAAGAAAAACTTTTCAAATAAATGGTGTCAGTTTTTACTTTAAGAAACTAGAAAAAGGAAAGCAAATGAAACCCAAGTAAGCAGCAGAAAAGACATAAAGATCAGAGTGAAAATCAGTAAAACAGAAAACAGAAAAATAGAAAAACTGAAACCAAGAGATGGCTTTTTGAGAAGATAAATATTAAAACTGATAAACTTCTAGCCAAATGTACTGGTTTGCAAGGACTGCCATAACAAAGTATGGCAGATTGTGTGGCTTAAACAAAAGAAATGTATTGTCTCTCAGTTCTGGAGGCTAGAAGTCTGAGATCAGGGTGTCTAAGGGCTGGGGGGAAGCATATAGGCCTCTCTCTTTTGCTTCTAGATGGCTATCTTCAACCTGTATCTCTTCACACTGTTTACCTCTAAGCTTGCTGTCTCTAGTTTTCCCCTTTTTCTAAGGACACTGGTGATATTCGATTAAAGGCCCCCAATCCAGTACATCTCAACTAATCATATCTGCAACAACCCTATGTTCAAATAAGGTTACATTGTGAGGTACTGGGGGTTAGGACTTCAACATGTAAATTCTGGAGGCATACAATCGAACCTACAATACCAGATTAATCAGGAAAATCTAAGAGACAAATAATATCATGAATGAGATATCCTACAGATATATGAAGATACCAAAAGAATAAAAAGGGAATATTGGGAACAACTGTTGTGGATTTCCAACTTGTTTGCTCAAGATGACCTATCTCTCTAAATTAGAAAATAAAACTTACTGTTCGCCTGCAAATAAAGACTTAGGCCTATGGATAAAACCTTTCTAGCTTTTTTTAAAATCAAGCTATTTTGGGATTCAGTGTTCTAAGAGCATATTATTTATAAGAATCCTTGAAGGCAATTTGTTGTGAAAATCATGCTACAGCAGATCTGGACTTTAAATGCACAATAAATTTTCCTTAGAAATGTTATTTACTTACACTGACAGCATTAATATCTGACACATGTCCAGCGAAAGATTGTCTACACATTCCATCTCGAATATCCCATAACTTGGAAGATGCATCACAAGCACCAGAAACAAAAGTCCTCATGTCAGGACTCAGAGAAAGACTCATCACATCTCCAGAATGCCCAGTGAATGTGGTGGTCTGCTGGGCCGTTTCAATGTCCCATAAAGCACTATAATTAAAAATAAATAAAAACAGTGACGATGATCTCTTCTTACATTAGTTCCTATTACCACCCTGAACCCCAAAATCAGTGTTCTTCTGGAATAAACTTACCAATTTGTATCTCCTGAACTTGTAACAATTTGTCTGTCATCTAAAAAACGACAGCAGGACAAGTAGCCTACGACATAGAGAGGCACACATTTTAGGTTATCATTGACTGAATAACTCAATTAGCATGCAAAATACTGATATATATTCTTAAAAATATAATACCTGGGCAACAAGTGTTTGTTAGTATAATCTGTAGTTCTACTTTTAATTACTTCAAACTCTATGCTGTCTACAACTAAATCTTATCAACTAACTCTTTTAGGTTTTTACTTTGTCAGTGACATCAGGTTGGGTACTCTAAAAGTTACAACTTGAGTAAGACACAGTCCCTTCCATCTACTACAATTACCTAAGAGAGAGATACTCTTTTACACAAATATCTATAATCTATGGCAGACGGTATCAAGTACCTTAGAGAAAGATTAAAAATATTGTGAGAAATTAGAACCACCACCTCAGTGAAGGCTTCATGAAAAAGGTGGCATGTAAATGATCAGAATTCACCAGTGTTTCAAAATGTGGAAATGGCAGGAAAAGGCCATTATAGAGATTTTGTAAAAAGCGTGGTCAAATGGTACTGCCAAGAATTTGGAGGCAGAAATCTGATGAATGGCAAATATTTCCTAATCGACACTGCTAACCAAATACTAGACCACTGAACTATGCTGTGCATGCTGGCAAATTAAGCAATGTGCTATCACGTAGAGAAAAATACTTCAAAAATGTATCTTAATATATACTTTCAATGACATAATTAAGTATAGAAGCCAAAATCCCATAATTGTTATGATTGCAGAGAATACAGAAAATATTTGCTTTCTTTTTGTATTTTCATTATTGTTTGAATTTTTGCAGTAAATTTATTATCTTTACAAAAATAATACTTTTAAAAAAACAATTATGGTCATCATTTATATAATTATAAAAAGTTAGTTCATAGTAATTTCTACTCTCACTTGATTAGTACTCATCCTTTAGCCAGTTGAACACAACTTGTCACTCATTCTCCTTGATAGGCTCATTCTTCAAGAGGAGTCAAGTTTGGTAGGAAAGGACAATATTTGGTGGAGCTCACCTATGTGACCTGGTAACTCTCGGCTCACTCTCACATTCCCCTCTCTGGTTTTTAAGTTATATATAGAGCAGATGTTGTCCAGTCCTCCACAAGCAACATAATTACCAGAGGGAGCATAAGCACAGGTCATCACCCAGGAGGACCTCAAAGGAATAGCATGCATCTGTACAACAAATACAATACACAAAAACTCTTACTAAGATTAAGAAAACAGCTATTTACCTTCCTAACCTATTTACAATGAGGAAAATATTATTAAAAATTAAATACATCTAAAAAATTAAGGCAAAATAAGAATGCAATGGACTGAAAAAGTGAATAATGAAAAATAAAATAATAATGCACACTAAAATGCCTATTATTTTTTTTTCTGTATTATCATCAAATCATTAGGATTTAAGTGCTCTTTTCGGAAATTATTCTTTTAGGAGAAGAACATAGGATGTTTCAATGCTAACACAGCAATTTGAATATTAAGTGTAAAATGTTAAAGAATTTAATACGATTCTTTGTTTTTATTTATTTATTTTTTATTTTTTAGGTGAGGCAACCCTTGGTTGACCTCACAGATTGCAAGGACATTGTCGGCTGACAATTCTTTATTTTTTTTTATTTTTTAATAATACAGCACCTGGTCTTCCTAGGTGGTCTCCCAGCCAAGTACTAACCAGGCCCAACCTAGCTTAGCTTCCAAGATCAAACAGGATTGGGCTTGTTCAGGGTAGCATGGCTGTAGACCCAATTCTTTGTTTTTATAGTAGTGCTCAAAAGAAGGATTTCCTCCAACATAACACTGCATAATATAATAATCAAGAGTCAATTAAAATGGTTCTTCCATGAAGAGATGGTCCTCCTAATAACAGAGCACACACTCTGGGCTCAAATTTAAACCATGGTTAATAGTTTACACTGATCTACTCAACTACTGTCTGGGCCTTGTTACCCAACACCAAGCACCTGCAGGCCAGGCAGCAAAATTTAAGATCTATGGGAATAGTAAGGCTAATGGTCCATACGAAGAATCAACACATCATGTGATTCCTACTGTGATGTCACTTAACCTAAAATAATATCTTTTAAATGCAATTTTTTTTTGTTTTAGGAAAATATAATTGAGAGACACATACTCAATGCCAATTAATATAGAAAAACTGTTACAATATAAATCTTTCTTAGCTACCTTTAAAATTTCGACCAGGCTGGATACTGTTTACTTTGCAAAATGGTACTTTTAAACCTTTAATAAAAATATAAGTGTACACAGAATCTTATGAAAGTTTTCCTACAATCACTCAACACCTTTACATCAGGGATTCCTTCCAGTGGACATGTTAAGATAAACCTCCGGCTTTTACCACCAAAAGATCTAAACGAGTTCTAATTTGCCACCAATCGACTGTCTTTTCTGAGCAGTCTAGAAACACAAATCAATGCCTAGAGTGGATCAAAGAAAAGCTTCACATTAACATTCTAGCTTATCTACAACTAGAAATAAAAATCTCAGGGTCATTGTCATATTCGGAAATGGAAGTTTTTTAAAACTGTTTTATGTAAAACAGATGAACACTCTTTTCTAATATGAAAATCTGAGACTTCAGTAAAACATACTGAATAATATTCCTGCAGTTGTCCTTGGGAATAAAAAAGGAGCTAAATATGAAAAGCAAACACAAAGCCTCAGGAGAGGATCTAGATTAAAATAAATGGAATAAATTTATCTTAGAAGGAAATTAAAGTTGGAAGTAATAGAATAAAGGAAGGAATTGGTGGATATTAAACCAAATAAACAGTTATTTAAAAGAATGATTAAGAAATTCTACCTTATTTGTTGTATAGCTATCCCAAATAATTAATTTTCCATCTTGGGAAGCACTGACTAGTAGCCTAGAGGAACAAACAAAAATAATTTGACACTTAGAGAAAAAAAATTTAAATTAGTTATGCATTGCATTATGTAGACTAGTTCATGAAAGAAAAATACATTTTTTTCTAATTAAAAACTTGATACCAGAAAATAATCTCCTTCCCAACTTTAAAAAAATTTATTCTGCATGCCAAAATTTTCAACATAACATACAATTTAGCAAAACTTAGACATTTTACTAAAAATGTCTCTGGTTATGATTCAACTTTTTCATGGTGACAACATTCTAGTTCTTATTCAAGACTGGTAGATTCTAGCTGACTGGTTTAGTATTGCCTGATTTAAATTTAATGACAACAGATACATATAAGCCTAACAACCATATTTCAACCTAAAAACATCAGTTGAGAGCCTGTGAATGCAAGGCAGTGTTATGGGTACGACTCAGGAAATATCACCTGTCCTCGAGGCCTCTTCCATCCTGTGGAGATAAGGTATTTACACGTATTTATAAGAAACCAAGTAAGTAAAAATTGTCAGAGGAATGGTATAAAATAATGCCATAGGAAAGAAAAAGAGAGAAAAATAATTGCTAGTTGAATTAATCAAGTAGTCTAGCAAAAGAGAATGAGTCTTGAAAAATGGAATTTTGAGAGCTAAAGGTAGAGATACATACTTCCGTCCTTTGTGAGTTTAAGTAATAAATAGTTATAGCAATATCCAGTAACCTGAACATAGCAATATTCAATAAATATTTGATTAACTGAAAATTCAAGGTTAATATACAATAAAACTGCTTTTGAATATTTTAAAAAAAAGTAAAATACCTCACTGCAAAGAAAAGAAATCCTAAACAGTTCACCTGGATAATTTGATAGTTTTGTGAAGAAAATTTATTTTCCATAGTAAAGGTTTCTAAACTTTTAAAGTATCAATGACTATTTTTAGTCAAAGCAGTGTTCACATTAGATGCATTTTCTGTAAGCACTTCATATAGTTTGTTTTTAACTACAAAAATGTTTATTTTAAAAGAAATGCAAATGATGATTCCTAACGAAAATAATTCTGCTGATAGTTTGAAAATGACAGGTACAAACCTTGAATCATATCCCCAGTGCATAGCATAGATTTTAGCTAGGTGGCCCCTCAGTGTACGTCTTGTTCGCATTTGTATCCGGCCCACGGAATCCATATTTGATGTGATCTTTAGAAAGTGACAAGAATGTTATTTTTTACCTTAGAAATAGTTCAGAAAATAAAGCAGAAACAATTAATAGGCAAAGAAGCAGACATAAAACAAATTTATAGCAATTGAAGATAATTTAATATAAATATAATTCCAGAGTCATTATAGGATCAATATGTTGTTCAAGAAAAAGTATGACTAAAATTATACTATTTGCACATCTTCTAGTGAGATTATCTTCTGTAGACTATTAACTGAAAAGAATAGACATAACTCAACTTTAGTAAAAAAAAAAATCCCAAAGAAAAATCTAATAGTTGATCAAAGAGTAAAACATTTATAATTTTAACTGTCTATAAAAAAGCCAGTTCAATATTTGTAAAGCACATACAATATTTCCTTAATGAAAATTATCTATGTTATACTAATGAAACCTTCCTAAGAGTTTATATAAGAAAAAAAAGCTTAGAGTATATCAAAAAGAATCAGAAACTACCTAAAAAGAAACATACGAATCTACATATTTTATGGTATCTACTTTTCCAGAATTCGACTTGAATAAATTTGTTTTAAAAAGCACTTATACAGAATCTGACAAACTACAAAGTGTTTTTAAATAGAGATCTCATGTTTTTACAATTAAATATTAATAAGAATCTGAAGGTCATTTGCATCAATGTCAAGCTGTTTCATGTGAATTACTAAAAGGAAATGAGGGGGTAAAAAAAACTTTACCTGAACAAGCGTTGCATCGTTACATGCTTTCCTCGCATCCTGAGGTAAAGAAAGGTGATTATAATACACTCAGACGTGGAAATTACTAGATACAATCTAAAATAATATTTTCGTTGAAAAACATAGATTTGCAAATATACTTTTTATTTTACCACATAATCTTTACTTAAAAAGCTTTTGTTGAGAGAAAAATTCACATAACATAAAATTAACTATTTAAATCATTTTCAGGTGTATAATTCAGTGGTTAGTAAATTCACAATGTTGTGTACCCATCACAACTACCTAATTTCGGAACATTTCCATCACTCCAAAAAAGAAAACCCATACCTCTCAATTCTCTCTTCCCTCATCCTCTGGTAATCACTAATTTATTCTCTATTTCTATGGATTTGCCTTCTCTGGACATTTCATGTAAATAAACTCATACAATATATGACCTTTTGTTCGGGCTTCTTTCACTTACTACAGTGTTTTTAAGGTCCATCCATATTGTAGTGTATATCAGTACTTCATTTATTTTATGGCCGAGTATATTCCGGTATATGAATATATCTACATTTGGTTTATCCATTAATTAATTACTGGATATTTAAGTTGTTTCCACTTTTTGGCTTTTATGAATAGATGCTTTGAACATTGATGTACAAGTTTTTGTGTGTACATATGTTTTCAATCCTCTAGGAGTAAAATTGGTGGTTGATATGGTAATTCTATGTTTAACTTAAACTGTCAAATCGTTCTGCACGGCAGCTGCACCATTTTATATTCCCACAAAGAACGTATGAGGGTTCCAATATCTTCACATCCAAACCACTGTTCTTCTTGTCTTCTTTTATTACTATTATTATTATTACAGCCATCTTAGTGGATGTGAAGTGGTATCTAGTGGTTTTGATTTGCATTCCCCTAATGATTAGTGATGTCAAGCATCTTTTCATGTGGAATATCACTGAATGTGCTTATTGGCTATTTGTGCATCATCTTCGGAGAAATGTTTATTTAAATCCTATGCCCATTTTTAAATTGGGTTGTTTATTGTTGAGTTGTAGGAATTCTTTATATATGCTGGATATTGACTCTTATTAGATATACAATTTGCAAATGTTTTCTCCTGTTCATTCTCTTGACAGTGTCCTCTGACATGCAGGTTTTTATTTTGGATGAAGTCCAATTTATCTATTTTTTTCTTTTGTTGTTTGTGCTTTTAGTGTCATATTAAACTGTTTGTCTAATCCAAGGTCATAAAGATTAACCACTGTTTACTTCTAAAAATTTTATACTTTTAGCTGTTATATTTAGGTACCTCTTCGAGTTAATTTTTATATATGATGTGAAGTAGGAGTCAAAATTCATTCATGGGAAAATCAGAAATGCAATTAGTTCTCCCTACTAGACTTCAAAGAAATTTTTTTTCCTCAAAGGTTAGGGTAGAATCCTCTTCAACTGTTTTTCTCTACTGTGCTTAGCATGCTCCTGTGCAAAAAGGAAGTACACAATATTTGTTGAATATAAGTCCCAAATGAACAACTTGTTCCAGTCAGCTCAGAGAAAAACACCTACCTCCACTTGCAGCAAAGACCTTTCAACCTATTTATAAACACTTAGACTATTCCTATGTAAGTGTGTTCATAAGTAGCAACACAAACATATGATTTGAGTCTTTCATTCTTAGTCAAATTGTGGGTTGAGAAACCTCATTTGGCAGGAAATGATTTGGCCTATTTTCTATAATGAAAAGAATTTCAGAGATGACAGTGATGGCCTGAGCCAGGTTCCAAAAATGAAGGAGTTGAAGACTAAATTCTAAAAAAAAGGGTCTCTGATTTTAAGCTTTATGAAAATGAACTATCATTTGGGTGATCTTTCTTAATTCAGTCATTCAATAAAAAAATCTGCTGAACACATATGATAATAAAAACTCTCCACAAAGTGGGCATAGAGGGAACATACCTCAAAATAATAAAGGCCATATATGGCAAAGCCCACAGCTAACATACTCAACGGTGAAAAGCTAAAAGCTTTTCCTCTAAGATCAGGAAACAAGACAAGGATGCCCACTCTCACCAATCTGATTCCTAGCAGAGCAATCAGGCAAGAAAAAGAGATAAAAGGCATCCAAATTAAAAAGGAGGAGTAAAACTATCGCTATTTGCGGATGACATGAGCCAAATAGACGTTTTGCAAAGAAGATATACAAAAGGTACATGAAAAGGTGTTGAACATCATTAATCATCAGGTTAATGCACACAAAACCACAATGAGATATCACCTCACACTTGTTAGAGTGGCTATCATCAAAAAGACAAGAAATAAATTTAGCAAGGTTGTGCACAAAAGGGAACCCTTGGGCACTGCTGGTGGCATTGTAAATTGGTGCAGCCACTATAGAAAACAGTATGCAGATTCCTGAAAAAAATAAAAGTAGAACTACCTCATGATCCAGAAATTCTACTTCTGGGTAGTTATCTGAAGAAAATCAAAATACTAACTTGAAAAGCTATGGACACCCCATGTTTATTGCAGCATTATTTACAATAGCCAAGATATGAAGACAACCTAAGTGTCTATTGACAGATGAATAGACAAAGAAAATGTGGTACATATATACAATAGAATATTATTCGGCCATAAAAAAGAATAAAATACCATATGCTCTTACTTATTTGTAGAGTCAAAAAAAAATAAACCAAGCCCATAAATACAGAGAACAGATTTTTTAAAAATGGGATAGGCATGTAACCATGCAGTTGGCCAATCAGTAGGTCCTGCTCAGAATGTAGAGCAAGTCACACAAAGTAGAGATGGTAGAGAATCCGCTCTGGTGGTGGCAACAACATCTAATTCAGAGATTATCCCATGAAGACTTCTCTGTAACTTACTAAATAAATACCTCCTTTGTTTTTACAGCTTTGTTCAGACACCTAAAGTATCGACTCAGGATTCTTATTCACAAATATATCATTAACTACTTTGAATTCCTGACAATAAAACTACTCAGAATCAACATATTTCTGGCAAGTGTTCTTCATCTATACCTTGTTTTTCCCGTGCTTTTCTAGTAATACCTTTGTATAGAGCCTATGCTTATTCCCTTTTTCTTACTCTTCATTTTTAAATTAGATGAGTTGTCTTGATATATCTATTGCAAAAGGTTCATATTAGGGAGGACAACAGCAGTGTTCTAAATTATTAGGGATTCTCTCTGCTTCATGCTGGAGTTGTTCATTTACATTTGTAAGATGTTTTAGCCCTTACTTTTCCCTGCGAAAAGAAGTAGGCAGTGCCAGGCTACATGCAATTCGGTTTCTTTCCTCTACTCTGTCGACAAGAGGCTTCCTAAAAGATGGCACATTTATATTCTTTCATTTTTTCCTCTGCCTTCCTTGATATTCCTCAGTCCAGGGAAGCAAGTGTTCCACCACTCCAAAGAAAGTACTATTGGAGTTGTTCCTGAGGGGGTGCTAACTACTCTGTATGAGATTTACAGCTGCAGAAATCTGCTCTCAGGGCCTGCCCACTCCCTGAAGCATCACTACATCTGACAACTCCTCCCCAAGCTACTACAAAGTTCTAAGTGTCTTAATTTTGTTAAAGATGTTTGTTTCTTATGCTCTTTACTGTAAAAGATGACAGACATGTCTTTATTACACCACTGACAATTTTCAATGTTTTTTCTGCAATCTAATGTTTTAGAGATTAATATTTTTTAGTACATTACGATGTGATAATATCTACCTGGTCATAATGCACCAAAAATCAAACTACGATTCCAGGTGTGTAAACAAGAAGAGAATTACATTTGTCTTTCAGCAGGGATTACATATATAATATTAACTTCTTAGGGATACAGGGGCTGCTAGTCCACATAAGTATTTGTTAGGAATGATTTTTTGGAGAATTCTTTAAAGGCATGATAAAAACAAACCGACCATTTCTAGCCTTATAAATTATTTGAAATATGTACACTGATAACCTAGTGAACAAATTTTGTTCACTGCTGGTACTAAAGTGTTAAAATTTCACAGCGAAAAAGTTTGCTCTTACCTGGATCTGATTCCGCAGTTGTTCAGCTTCCTGCCTCAACTGTTCCAATTCACTCATTTTTCCGATTTGTTTACTCCAAAATTAACACCACAAAGTAACTATAAAAAATAAAGACAGACTGATTCAGTTCTCCACTTACATATTAACTGACTTTTAAAATACTGACATATCACTTCTTTTCACCTTTTCTGAAACTCAAATGAAACAGTCAATTAGTACTGGAACTTAAAACCGTTTAATAAATATAGATCTAGATTATTTACTGAAGAATTTTATAGTGGGAAGTGATCAGAGGATAGAAATCTTGAGTTGTAACATTCAAGACTAAACTATAGAAAATTAGTATTAGAATGGAGTCTAGTGAGAAATACTTTACAATAATTCAGAGGGCACGAATAGGCATTTTCACTTGGATATCTAATAGGCACCTCAAACTTAATACTTCAAAACTGAACCCCTCAGGTCTTCTGCATTTCAGTAAATGGTAATTCCATCCTTCCAATTGTTTATGCCAAATACCTGGAAGTCATCTTTAACTTCGGTTTCTTTCATACCCTACATCTATGCCATCAGCAAAGCATGTCAGTCTTTCAAAAAAGTATCTAGGATTTGACTAACTGTGATTACGTCCACTTTGACCTTCTTGGTCAAAGCATCTCTCACCTGGTCTTCTTTCCACTGCTTTTGACTACTCTCCAGTCTATTCTATGTACAGCGATCAGTAATCTTTTTAAAACACAAGTCACTCTTCTGCTTCAAATCCTATAACAGCTTTCCACTCCACTCCAAGGAAAGCTTAACTCTTTCTCTTGACCTACAGAGTCCCATACAACCTCTTACACACACCTCTCTGACCTCCTCATTTATCACTCTTTCTCATTCACGCTGCTCCCACCACTTAAAAGCTTTCTTCATGTTCCTTGAACACACTAAGTAGGCTCCAGCCTCACTGTCTTTATACCTGCTCTTCCCTCTGCCTGAAACGCTCTTATCCCTGATGTTTTCATCATTCGCTCCCATACTTCTGCTCACATGTTACCTCTTTAGAGGGACTTTTGCTGATGGCACATGTGCACCCACCTAGGCCCATTACCTTGTCTCTATGAGATCACTATAAGACTCAACATCATCTAGCATGTATTTGCTTATTCGTTATGTTTCCTCCAAGTAGAATGTTAAGCTCCTTAAGGCAGGGACTTGTTCACTTTATTCTTTGCTATCTCCCTAGCACACATGACACTTTGTCCTCCAGTAAATAAACTAATCTGAAATAGCTTAAGAAATAAAGAGAAACTTGTTCTAAGGATTTAGAATGAATTATAAAACCAAAAGGCATGAATATTACTACCTCAGGAAAAGATCAAAAGATGAAAACTAGCTGTATTCTTTCTCTAGCCGTCCTGTTTTTTTCTATGTCTCTTTGTTTTTCCTTTATATAGAGTAACTTTCGCTGCTTCTCTAAACACAAGACCCAGTTTATATCTCTTTAGGTCAAGACCAGAGTCCAAAATGACTATCCCAACCGGATTCCCATAAGAGAAAGTTTTTCTGGTGTCCATCCTTCATTCACTTACAGTGTAGTACAAATAACTGTTTATTCTTTCAAGGTTAACTTTAAATTTATTTTATCAAATCGAAATATAAATTTATTAAGACTGACTGAAATGGCATTAAACTATCAAGTGGTTTGAGAACTATCATCATTCTAGTATTTCATTTCCAGTTTACTACTGTGATACATTTATCTAATTTTTCAGCAAATGTTGGTAAATTTTTTTGTAAGTCTTCCTGATAAATTTCTACTGTTGAACAATTTAGTACGTTCTTCAGAGGGTACCAGATTGAATAGATTATGGGCAATCTAGAATGTTATTCTGCCTAACTAAAGAAAAGCAGCATGCAGATTCTTTAAATTCACAACCCTAATTGCCCTTGCTGGACCATATCTGAGATATCCCTGACCCTAAAATCCTAGAAACTAGTTCTGATGTCTCTTTATTACCTGGGTTTCAAAAAATCCTGGGCAAACAAGACTGGTGTAAGTCTCTCCTACTGTGTTGCTAATGTACTAAAAAGGAGTATCAAGGGACCTAACACATCTCAGAAGTTTTCAAACTACATCTCATCCTTCCCTACTGCTTTCCCACCCTGCAAACTACCCACACACAAGTGACCCTCTAAAGTGGACTGTATTTGCAGCTCACAAGACTTACTAAGGCTGGACTATTATCTGTACCAAATGAACCAGATTTTCCAGCCTGGTGCCCCCAAAATGGGAGTACCATGAATGGAAATGGCAAACAAAGTGAAAGCAGTTCCCTTATCACCACCACTCTGTGGATGGGGAACTGCTGGGAGAGGCCCTGGGCCCACATGCACATTTTTGCTGGGTGTGCCTGGAATACAAGGCCCCGGTCACTTTTACCAAGGCCATTTCTCAGGGTTGTATTTGGAAAGAGCAACCTTGAGGAATGAGACAATGTCTCCCCAAGACAAAGAGCAGGCTTGCTTCTACTTACCATAAAAGTGGCAAATTCCCCAAGCTCAGTGTTTCTGGGCTATGATGAAAACTCGATGCATGTGTGGCATCTATCTAGTCCCACCTGTGTCACCTAAGAGCACAGGGAATCAATGCAAACCAACATCAGGCTATGCACTTGCTTTGCTGTGAGTAATAAAGTCTCTGGTCTCTGATCAGGAGTCTCATGTCTTCTACCAGCATCCATAAAACAGTGACAGGCCAATTTATTAGCTTGTAACTAGGTAAAATTTCAGACTCTTTGCAATCCTTGATAAGAAGAAGGTTCATAAGATGAGGAGTCCAATGTGGAATAGAGTGAAATTTGGGCTCTTTTATTTTTAATGAGATATAACTGACATATAATATTATGTAAGTTACTGTATATAAGTTTCAGTTGTACAATGTGTTGATGTGCCACATTTATATATTACAATTGATTACCACCAAAGAATTAGTAACACCTCTATAACATCATACAATTACCGTTTCTTTTTTGTGGAGAGGACATTTAAGATCCGGTCTCATAGAAACTCTGAAGTATATAATACAGTATGGTTGACTGACTATAAATGCTATGCTGTACGTTAGATCTTCAGAAGTTTTTCATCTTCTAGTTGCAAGCTGCACTTCTCTTTTACAGATTAGATTCCAAGTTTAGCACTGCATCAACAATTTTGCCAGCACCCTAGTTTCCACTACCCTTCTATTTTGTTACACTCAACAGCACTGAAGCAACCAAACATCGACTGAAAAAGTCAAACAACTGGGCACATTAATTCTACTATGAATTCATATCATCAATTTCAACCAGGCCCTCAAAACTACCTAACAACCCTAGGCTGCTTTTTACTCACTTCCACTCTTACTATCAACTATTTAAATTCCTTTAAATTCTTTTCAAGCTTTTGACCTTTTCACAACCCCTCTTGCAACAGATGACCTTGCTTTCTATATCACAGAGAAAACAGAAGCCATTGGACATGAATGAATGAACTTCAATTTTCCACTACTAGATTTAAAACTATACAAACGTAACTGACTCATCATACTTATTCTCCGCCTTCTATAATAGGAGCTGAGTTTTCTGTCATTTGGGCCAATTCCTCCACCTGTGATTTAAATCCTGTCTATCTCTACCTTTTCAATAATCTTATACTTTTGGTTATCCCTTTTCTTAAAGTATATCAATCTTTAATTTTTTCTCCATTGTCTGACTTATTAAGAAAAGTCTCAGAGAGAAATTTGTATAATGAACACTCATAATACCCCCCATGTAGGTTTACAAAATGTTAATACTGTTGTTATATTTGCTTCATCTTTGTTTTTGCCGAAGTATATTAAAAGTCAATTACAGAGACTCATGGACATGGACTATAGACTAGTGGTTACCATGGTGACAGAAAGAAATCTAACTATGGGAGGTGACCACACAGTGTAAATATATATATGCCTTACTGTTGAAACTTATTGGATTTCGTTAACCAATGTCTCCATAAAAAATAAATACTTAAAAATTAAAAAAAAAAAATCAATTACAGATGAGAGGGAAGCAGAGTTTGTCATCCCCAAATACATATCTTTTAAAAAAAGATATTATTTTAAGCTAGTTATCTTTAAGAAATGAAAGACAAGAAAACCCTCTGGCCTTCCCCTTACCTACCTATCATCACAGATAACTATAGATTAATATGAACTAATAGACAAGAAGGAACCTAGAAAGGGCCTTTTGATCAAAGTCCCCTCATTGTTAAAAATGGCCCAACAAACATTTATTTACTAAAAATTTGCTTTTCCATCTCAAGGTGAACTGCCTTCCTGCTCTCTAAAGTCCCAAACCACAACACCCAACTCCCGCTTCTCCTTAACTCAAAATGACATATAAGCCTTAATGACCCAAACTGTCCCTGGGACCCATATGCTTATGGAACCCTCATATGTACACATGTAATAAATTTGGCCATTTCCTCCTGTTAATCTGTCTCATATTAATTCAATTATTCATCTAGCCGAACTTTAGCTAGAAAGAAAATTATTTTTCCTCCCCCACACAGATATCAAGACATTTTTACTCTTAAATATTTTAGAATACATCTTAAAATTTTAGGGCATTTTTCTACTAAACTATATACCATTAACAAACCTACCAAAATTAACAGTAATTATTTAGTAGCTAATACCCAGTTCCTTTTCGAATTTCCCCAATTATTCCACCAATATCTTTTTACATCTGATTTGTACAAATCAGGATCCAATTAAGGACAACATAACACATGTGGTTATATCTCTTCTATGTCTCTTTATCTGGAGATACCCACCTTCTGAGCCACTTGTCCTACAGAATGTCACAAATTATTTCTACTTCCTTACAGTATTGTTTAACTCATTTCTCTATCCTTTTACTGCCCATAAACCGGAAGGAAATTAGATCTACAAGCTGGATGATATTCAGGTTCAATATGTTTGGCAAGAATACTTCTAGGCGACACTGGACTTCATATTATAACTGTGGATGAAAAAGGGGCCTATAATAAATCTGATAAGTTCAATGACTGAAAGTAACCTCGTGGGGTGATCTGATCATAAATTCCTAACTGGGCAGGTCATGGTGGGTAGTCACACCCCAGGCATATAACTTCTTCAGTAAAATGCTTATCTTTGCCTTCTGCAAGCCCTGTCCATTGTTTTTGTGCATGAAGGTTAACATACCTTTGAAATGCTTCTTTTTCAGACCTCTTGGAAGCATAATCATCCTCAAGAGAGCACGTAATCTTGTTAACTATCCTGTAATCCAATCTCTGCCTTGCTTTCTCCCATGTTCCTTACTTTCTCTCCTTAATTCCAAATGCATAAAAAAAAATCCTGCAAACTGTCATTCTGGGAAGCTTTTCTCAAGCTCTGTTGAGATCTTGCTTCCAGGTGTGTCCTCTGTTTGGCTCAAAAATAATAATAAAACTTTTCTATAGGTTTGGATGTTCTTTAGTCAAGTAGATCAGAATGAACTTAATGTTTATGACACAATTAGTAAAGCTAAGATTGGTCAGTGTGTTCAGGTGTTAAACAGCTTAATCTGTCTATTGTAAAGTTATAATTCCTCACTTTCACCCATGAAACAACAATGGGTGGGAGGGGGGATTTTTTCACTTTCAATTAGATCTTTTCCATCAGGAAGTAATCACGCCTAACTCCCTTTGAAAAAAGGGGTGGGGAGTTGAGGACGACATAATTCTTTATCCCACATTTTACCATCACTTACAGTCCTTTTCTATCTTTCATTAATAGCTTTCAAAGATTTGCCTATACATCAGTGGTCCCCAACTTATTTGGCACCAGGGACCAGTGCTCCTATTAGAATCTAATGCCTGATGATCTGAGGTGGAGTTGAGGCGGTGATGCTAGCGCTGGGTAGTGGCTGCAAATACAGATGAAGCTTCGCTCACTTGTCAGCCGCTCACCTCCCCAGCTGTGTGACCCAGTTCCTAACAGGCCAAGGATCAGTACCAGTCCTCAGCCCGGGGGTTGGGGACCCCTGCTATATGTACATGACCCTATTTCCTCACATGGAATTCTAAATTCTCAAGCCTTATTCATGTCCAGCGGACTTCAGCTAAGTTTAAGCAGGCATGATGAAAAAGGACGGGACAGTAACAAGGCAAGCGGCTGTCTGAGATGTTTCTAAGCTGCAAAATCAGAACCCTTCTGTGCCAAATGAAAGGTAGAATATGCCACCCCAAAGTGCGTGTCCTTGGCATAAGGATTATTTCGAGAAACAGCATACACAGTAGAAACTCTGAAAACAAGAGAAATTACTCCTTTGAAATGGAAATTTATATTTACAAAGGAAATCTCCATGTGTAAGGCTGTCTCCCTCTCAGTACCAGGAAGAGAGGATGACTGTACATCACAAGAGAATCTTATCAAAAGAAAAGGCACAGGACCTTCAGTCTGCATAACAAGCCTTATCCTTATTTACCCTTGCTTTTCCTGGTAACCTCCTGTGCTAGTCTCCCTCCGCCCTGCACCTTTCTGCTGTATTTAACTGAAGAAGGTTTTTAAGTTTGTGGCTTGGGCTGCACTGTTTTCCCTGGGTATCAACAGGTATACCTCAGGTATACATGTTAAGCAGCCTCTGTTTATTTTCCTCTTATTAATATTTTATTACAGGAGTCTCAGTCAAGAACTCAGAAGTATAGAGGGAAAATTATTTTTCTTCCCCTACACAGACAACTGCAAACTTTCTTTGGATGTCTGAAAAGAAAATGTCAAAGCTGCCTTAACCCCCTTTCATATCTGCTGCTAAAAAGAGGAACTTTTCACTCTTTAAAAAAAACTTCCTAGTTCCGTCACTAAGGAGAACCAATATTTTGATTGACTTTCTGTTGATCTTTTCTTCTCACTGGCTATTGTTGAATTCCTGAGAATCCCAATAAAGGATCCATCTAGAACAGACTAGCAGACTACAAACAACTTCCAGACAAACTTAGACAGTGACGTGGTAAAATGAGACAATAGGATACCCCTCAGGTAAAGCCTAATGTGATAAATACTAGTAAATTATGGTTTGAAGGCGATGATCTAAAGAAGTGGCCAATCTGTGTATTGATGAGGTCTGTGTGTATATAATTTGGTTATAAAAGTTTTGAATTCTTGAGAATGATATTGTTGCATGAGGTACAGTTAAGTAAGTAGCTCCCTCAAACAATTAAACCTGAAAGTATGCTCGAATTCAGAGAATTGAAGTCCTCTAGGGGCCCGTATTTTGACTGGTAGAAAAAGTCATCTACCACTTTCCCTCCTGCAATTCCTTTACATCACAACTAATAAAGGACAGAAATGACGGGGAAGTAACAAAGCCTTTTATAAAGTTTTGTGAATTCAGTGTGGGGGGAAAAACAATGAGAGTAATGGCAGGAGAAAGAAAACCAGTAAAACAGTCACCCACTACTTAAGAAATCCTCCACTGGGTGCACCCAGGCAGACTAACTGCAGCATAAACAAATTCAGTGTCCTCTTTATTTACAGTTTAAAATAATTAAGAGCCCAACCTGAGCAGGGAGTAACCAAAATAT